TTTGTGCAAGCTTTGTAGTACACAGTAGTACTGGGAACGACTTTGTGCAAGCTTTGTAGTAAAAAGTGGTACTGGGAAGTGCTTTGTGCAAGCTTTGTAGTACACAGTAGTACTGGGAAGTGCTTTGTGCAAGCTTTGTAGTACACAGTAGTACTGGGAAGTGGTTTGTGCAAGCTTTGTAGTACACAGTAGTACTGGGAAGTAGTTTGTGCAAGCCATGTAGTACAAAGTAGTACTGGGAAGTAGTTTGTGCAAGCTTTGTAGTACACAGTAGTACTGGGAAGTAGTTTGTGCAAGCCATGTAGTACACAGTAGTACTGGGAAGTAGTTTGTGCAAGCTTTGTAGTACAAAGTAGTACTGGGAAGTGCTTTGTGCAAGCTTTGTAGTACACAGTAGTACTGGGAAGTGCTTTGTGCAAGCTGTGTAGTACACAGTAGTACTGGGAAGTGCTTTGTGCAAGCTTTGTAGTACACAGTAGTACTGGGAAGTGGTTTGTGCAAGCTTTGTAGTACACAGTAGTACTGGGAAGTAGTACTGGGAAGTAGCTCTGCATGTGTTGAACTTCTGTGGTTTCAGAGTGGTTTCAGACCCCTTCGGGGGGTCTAGCTGACCTTGATGAAAAGAACAATTTACAGACAGAAAAGACTTGAACACAACATACAAGGAAATACATTTAAAGAGCAGATAGATAGATAGATAAATAGATAGATAGATAGATAGAGATAAAGCAGCCAACGCGGTCCGGAAGACATGCAGCAGCAGCCCGGAGATGGTGAGCAGGAAGGTGTTTCAGAGTGGTTTCAGACCTCTTTTGGGCTTGTTTTTTGGGTACCCCCAGCTTTGGGAGATGAAAAAAGAAAGAGAAAAGGTAGAGAAAGAGAGAGAGAGAGAGAGAGACAGAGAGAGGAAGAGGGAAAGAGAGAGAGAGAGAGAGATAGAGAGAGAGAGAGAGGAAGAAGATGGAAGATGGAGACAAACAGAAGGCGAGAGAGAGAGAGAGAGAGAGAGAGAGAAGAGGGAGAGGAGAGAGAGAGCGTTGTAAATGGTGAGCAGCGGGGTGTTTCAGAGTGGTTTCAGACCTCTTTTTGTCCGTAGGCTACCTCAGCTTTGGAGAAAAAACAGGAAAGAACGGGAAAAGAAAGAAGAGAAGGGAGAAAGAGACAGAGAGAAAGAAGAAGTCTTGAGACGGTGAGCAGGAAGATGTGTCGAACTGGTTTCAGACCTCTTTTGGGGCCGGTTATGGGGCTACCTAGTTCTTAAGACATCCAAAAGAAGGGGCTCAAAACAGATTGTACTTGAAACACATGCGGTCCGGAAAGACGTGCAACGGTCCGGAAAAGCAAGCACCCAAAACGTACTCTAATCGTAGCGATTGCGGTCCGGAAAGGCATGCAGCGGTCCGGAAAAGCGAGCACCCAAAACGCACTCTAATTGTAGACATTGCGGTCCGGAAAGATGAGCAGCGGTCCGGAAAAGCAAGCACCCAAAACGTATTCTAATTGTAGCCATTGCGGCCCGGAAAGACATGCAGCGGTCCGGAAAAGCAAGCACCCAAAACGTACTCTAATTGTAGCCATTGTGGTCCGGAAAGACCTGCAGCGGTCCGGAAAAGCAAGCACCCAAAACGTACTCTAATTGTAGCCATTGTGGTCCGGAAAGACCTGCAGCGGTCCGGAAAAGCAAGCACCCAAAACGTACTCTTATTGTAGACATTACGGTCCGGAAAGACGCGCAGCGGTCCGGAAAAGCAAGCACCTAAAACGTACTCTAATTGTAGATATCGCGGTCCGGAAAGACATGCAGCGGTCCGGAAAAGCAAGCACCCAAAACGTACTCTAATTGTAGCCATTGTGGTCCGGAAAGACCTGCAGCGGTCCTGAAAAGCACACAATGGCTACAATTAGAGTACGTTTTGGGTGCTTGCTTTGTCTCTCCTTCTTTCTCCCTTCTCTTCTTTCTTTTCCTGTTCTTTCCTGTTTTTTCTCCAAAGATGAGGTAGCCTAAGGCCTACGGACAAAAAGAGGTCTGAAACCACTCTGAAACACCCGCTGCTCACCATTTACAACGCTCTCTCTCTCCTCTCCCTCTTCCTCGCTCTGTCTCTCTTCTCTCTCTCTCGCCTTCTGTTTGTCTCCATCTTTCCATCTTCCTATCTCTCTCTCTCTATCTCTCTCTCTCTCTCTCTTTCCCTCTTCCTCTCTCTGTCTCTCTCTCTCTCTCTCTCTTTCTCTACCTTTTCTCTTTCTTTTTTCATCTCCCAAAGCTGGGGGTACCCAAAAAACAAGCCCAAAAGAGGTCTGAAACCCCTCTGAAACACCTTCCTGCTCACCATCTCCGGACTGCTGCTGCATGTCTTCCGGACCGCGTTGGCTGCTTTATCTCTATCTATCTATCTATTTATCTATCTATCTATCTGCTCCTTTTTCTTTGGATGGCCTATTTACCACCCTGGTTATCTATGTTTATCAACTCGAGATATTAATATTTAAGATCTAAATCAGATACGGTAGTAGTAGTAGTAGTGGTAGTAGTAGTAGTAGTAGTAGTGGTAGTAGTAGTAGTAGTGGTAGTAGTAGTAGTAGTGGTAGTGGTAGTAGTAGTAGTAATAGTAGTAGGAATAGTAGGACTAGTAGTAGTAGTAGTAGTAGTAGTGGTAGTGGTAGTGGTAGTGGTAGTGGTAGTGGTAGTAGTCGTCGTCGTAGTAGTAGTAGTAGTAATCAAAATGTTAATTAAAAATAGTATTTGTAATAATGATAACAATAGTACTTGCGCGTACCTTGGGCCGCCCTTGCGCGAAACTTGCGCGATGCAGGTTTTAGACCATGGGAAAAATGCGAGAATAGGTCCTTTACTAAAAACCTTTCTGGGGTTTTTGGACGGCTCCCATATATATATATATATATTGACATATGTATATTGACCTATGTATATTGACGTATGTATATATTGACATATGTATATTGACCTATGTATATTGAATTAGATTGACATATGTATATTGACATATGTATATTGACATAAATAAGTATTTTGTGTATATGCATATGTATGTGTATGTGAATATGTATCTGTAGATTATTGTGCATGTGTACTGTATACATGGGATTGGATTGATTTATAAACCAATGAATCACTGCGGCGGTCCTCTCGGAATCGAATTGGAGGGTCAACTCTGATGACTGGGATTAACCCGCCAAGAAATTGTGGTTTGAGTGGATTGTAGCGGACTTCATGATAAACAATTTGGTTCTCAACGAAGCCACAAATCAGCCCTTTGACGGACATCATGGCTTATCTGACAATTTAGGGGAGACTTGCTAACTTTCAAGGTTGATCATGACTTTCTCTTTTTGAAATTGCATTTTCTTAGGTACCTCCTATTTTCAGGCAGAGGTAGATACGGTTTTGATTTCCAGTGAATGAGATTCATGAAACATATATACATATATATATATGGTATATTGTGTACCTCCAATATATGGCCATGTCTATGGAGAAAATGTTGATAATCCATTGGGGTCAAGCGTGCCCATGGGTGCCCTATTCTTCAAACAAACCATCGTAGATCATATTAGAATGGTTTTCGAAAATGTGATGCTTCGATTGGAATCGTTCCTGACAAACTGCAAACGGTTGACGGGGATGGATTAAGGGGGCGCTCCTGTCTTTGCGTTTGCAACCATGTTGGGGAGCTACCTAAGCACATTCCTAGACTCTTTCCTAAGCAAGGAAATTTATTACAATCTCAACTCCAAACTAAAATGACAGTATCCAATATAAGATCAATATATAATTCTATGGGATATCGCTGTGGTCAAATGAGTCTATCCCTCGCCTGGGGTCCCTTTTTCAACAAAGGTTATCGCTAGGTTATCGCTAAATTAGAACACCAGGATGATCAAGAAAGGAAGAGAAAAAGGACATGAAAAGGACAAATGAAACAAAAGGAAAACATGAAATATATGGAATTCAGAATGTCAGAATTGGATTCAAAAACAATTTTGTTTCACTTCAGAATTCAATTGCGTTTAGTTTTAAAAGGCAAGTAAAATGATGTTTTTATTTAATTCAGAATTCAATTGCATTTAGTCATTTAGTTTAGTTTAATTCTACTGCTTTGGGACCTGAGAGAAAAAAAACAAACTGCCTGCAGAAAGCAACGGTTCAATCACCTTGGACAACACATGACATGGCCACTGCAAGAAACGTGGGCGCTGCAGGGTGAATTTTCTTCATCAATTTTGCCCATCGCGTGAAGGTGCACAACAATATGTTCTTGGTTTACACCAAGTTCAATGCACTCTCATATGGTTACAAGTTATCGTTTTTTTGGGGGGGCCCTATCGCTTTACATGGTTTGGTGCACTTTCTGGACACAACTGGACCCTCCCTTTCTAAAGTAGTCTACGCTTATTTTGGGGCCCTATCGGTTTACATGGTTTGGTGCACTTTCTGGACACAACTGGACCCTCCCTTACTAAAGTAGTCCATGCTTATTTTGACCGTATCTTAACTGAATCTTCTTTATGGAGACTGATTTCATCATAAACTCCTCTCAAGTAAAATGAGTCTGGGATCTGGTTGGTTCCCAGGTCCGTTCTCACAACTGAACTTATGGATACTTATGGATTAAACAAATAATATGTCATACTTATCAAATAGGCTTATGGTTACTTAGATTATGAATAAGTTAAGTGAACCCCACAAGAGCCTGCTATAAGTTCCCGTTATCCCCGCAGAAACCACATCCCTACGGGAATGGAAGGGCCGCCCTGGGATCCGTGATGAGAAATCTCAAAGAAAACTGGAGTCGCTGCTCGGAGTCGCTGATCTTCTTTGGAATTTGATCGGACCCTAAAATGGAGAGATTCTGTACCATATGTATTATATATATATAGAGATAGATATTACATATATATGATTATATATGATTATATATGATTATATATGTATAGTTATTTTTGGCAGAAATTGGGGGCATCTCCCCAAAAACTTTGCGCTAATTTCGAGAACAACCCCTATGGCAGTTTCGGCTATGCCCATTGTGCGGCTCCGCCTTGGGACCGTCGGGGCTCTTGGCACCCTGCACATCGCAGGACAGATCCAAATGACAAGTACAATAGATGAGTTAGTTCCATCTCAACCTCAGAATGTTGAAATGTTGAAATGATGAAATCTATGAAATCTGTTCTTTGGCCAACTATATCCTATATATTATAGGTTATTATAGGTCTATATTGAAGGACGCAATAGGTCTATATCAACCAATATAGGTTTAACCAATATTCGATTCGTTGAGGTGGAAGGGACAGTGCTCTCGGCACCGGGCACCTTCATCCCGGGAAGCCACAAGGATTGGTCACAGAATGTAGACTGGAATAGCTCTGCATCAGAACTTGGAACCCGGGGGGCAAACGGATGTTTAGTCACCCAAAATATGGCATCATAGGTTATACAGTAACATGTTTTTGCATTTGTTTAGCCCATACACAGATGGAATGAAAAGGGTTCCTGAATCGTCACTGCAGTGGATGCGGTGTCCTTCGAAACCTTGTCCATTGATGAGGCACATGACATATCTCAAGAGAAGGCTGGTACTTGATATGGTACCCGACTGATTTACCGCCCCTTGTACAGTATGGTTGCTACCTATATCATTTTTTTCTGTTGATGAAGTCGTTTTTTTGGTTGCTCATATGAAACACGAACCATCTTAGCGATGCTCTAAGGATGTTTTTCCCCAACTGATGCTGCTGAACCCTACAAAAATGGAGCTGGGCCAGGGCCCAAAGGTCCACAACACCCGACCGCGATTGTGAAGAGGGTACCAATTATCATGCGATAAGTAGACAATAAGACATATATTTGGATATAATACATATATATATGTGTGTGTGTATGTATGCATGTATATATTAATATGCATCTATCCTTGCAAACTATCCTAAATACCAAACCAGAAACATGCCCGAACCGTTTGTGGTGACATCGTTCTGAGGTCGTGCTTTTGAGTTTTCCCAAATACATACATCCCCATATGTTATTTGTGAAATCACCACTGTCATCCCCTTCTTATTTGTCAAACTCTATTTTGGTGGGGATTACCGGGCTTATTACATCTACATACATGCATACATACATTACTTTACAGTTCATAACCATAGTTCAGTACATTTCACTACATTTTACAGTACTACATTTTGTTACACTACATTGTATAAGATAAACTGACATAACATTAACATAACACACATACCATACATATATACACACATTCCATTCCATTGCGCTGCATACGTTGCACTGCATTATATCACATAATCAATCATAATCACAGATTCTACAGTATGATTCGATGTAAAATATGTCCACAGCCTCCAACCAATTAGCAGAAAGAAAACCAACCCTTTCTACATCACGTTCCTTGGGAAATAATGGGTGCTCCATATCCATGATAATCTAACAAATGGTATTAGTTGTGTCCCAAAAGAAATGCAAAGAAAGGGATTAGTCAGCCGGATCCTATTCATAATAATTGCCAGGTGTCCCAGGTATGTGCATATATATATATATATTATGATTAAAACCAATGTCTAGTTTCATGTATGTAATCCGCAATTAGTTGTTTACTTGTTATTGTGTATTATTTTTACTATAGATACATCTATATATATACACATAATATGAACTAATATTATACATATATAAATCGTATAAATATACAGTGTATATACATATATACACTACAATTTGCATAATTCTATGACTTGGGGTTTCCTCATCCCATGGCACATCACCACGCCACGCATCCCACGCAGCCAGCCACGCCTCATCCTCCGAGGACACAGGACTCTGCGCCCAAGGCGTCTTGGGCTCGTCAATCTTGCGCCTGCCCAATGGATGAGGATAGCTAGGGTGAAATCGTTGCCAATCGAATGGGTACCTTTGTTAAAACAAACATCTGCAAACAAAACCTTTGTTTGTTGAGAGATATCATATGATATCATGATATTTCCATATATTTCCTATGGCACAAGATGAACGGATTAAACTACCCATCCAATCATCCAGTCGGTTGACCCATTTCAATGGTCCAAAACAGGACACAAAAACGACCCGACCTCTCTGATCTGTCTCAAATCATAAATCAACAGCAATCTCACAAGATGGTTCTGAAGAACTTCACGATCATTCTGCCCAACACGGCCCCGACGTCACAGCACCTGGTGCCCCTCTCCTTGTCGTGTTCCGCGAGATTGGCCTCGCGGTGGCCATAGGGGGGCCGCTAGCCAGCTGGACTCACCAATGTGTTGGCCATATTATAATGTATTATAGTCATTCTAGTATTATACGTAGTTTTGCAGTAAGCCTGAAATGTGGTAAACCCATGTAAACCCAATTTATAATATATAATATATACACATATCACTATAATCATTATATAATCATTATATAATCATTCGGAAAATACTAGAATATCGTTTATACCACCTACAAGTGGTAGACCCAATGCCATAAACTATCCCCCAAAATCATCGTTTTCATGCGTGGTATTCCAACCATCCCCAAATGGTAGCTTTATGGCATTGGTGTGTGGCTTTTATCCATCGTCACCATCCAAGGGACCAAGGGAAAAGTTCCAGGATCGCTATGGGATGAATGTTCGCTGACGAGGATGTTGGAGAATTTTGGAGAAAGGGTGGAACACCACAGCTGAATTTGAACCTTTTTTTCCTGGGGCCATAGTCTGTGCCCAATTTTTCTCCATCAAACCATCTAATCTAGATGTAGGCTCATATCAGCCACGATCAGCTCATTGGTTGGTTGATTTCAGGGCTCACCGAATTAGCTAAAAACAGCTATGCATATATATATATAGTATGATATTTTAAGAGGAAAGTTCCCCAATCAAACAGCCCGCAGATAAACAAGAATCCAGAGCTAGGGTATCCCCAACTAGGATTGCAGTCTATAAAGTATGATGTCTATGGATATCTATGGTTCAACAAATGATATTCATGTACAAACAAGCACGATGTTTTATGCGATTTCTTTTAAGTACATTATAAAGGGTTTAAGATTCAGATTATTTGAAAAACATGCTCCCATTTGATATTCACATCATTACAAATCATGGATTGGGAATCACTCAACACCAACACCCAATCAAAGGTGTGATGCATCAGGCGCATTCAAGTGCAAGTACAATACAATGAATATAGTATCAGCGCGTCCAGTGGCTTGCCCAAATATATGCATCGACTGATTTTGATATTGTAATATTGCAAGAAATTATATGTTTCTCCTCTGGTTTGAAAGTATGATTCCCATGGATCTAGGTATCTTGTGAGAAGGTACTTGACATTGCTTGACCCCCAACAATGATGCCCCAAATGCACACAAGAGCAAGGTATGTTGATTAAAACATGCCTTGATCTATCGGCACCTTCTTTTCCGGAGTATTATTGGAATGATATGATTACATATATCATTATATATATCAGTTAAATAGTTTGATTCAGAGGGTGAAGTTAAATCTGCCTTCTCAGGAGATATTTGATCATTCTGGATCCAGAGGCACAAACATATCAGATTCACCCAACCACATGAGCCAGGTGACCTCCAGATATAAGGCCCCTGTTCGGGGCGACATTTCAGGGAATATGCCAACAAAAATATGGCCAAGAATTATGTAGCTCCATTTTAGGGTTCTGAAATTCCCACAGATCACCCATACTCCCAACCGTTCACCAAGCGAACAGGGCGTAAACTTAATCCACCATGTTTAGCTTGGTGAAATCACTATGTTCATCCATTTTTCCTATTTCAATCACCAGTTTCCTATGGTTTTCCTAGGGGTTTTCCTAAGGTTTTCGTTTGGGCGCCGGGGATGTTCAACCCAGCCTCGTCCCAGCTGACACCATGGGCAGTTTCTGAGGCGTGGCTCCCGTCCAACGGCCTCCCAAGGATCCCGAGGCAGGGTTTCAACCATACATAAATGGTGGGTTTCCATAGTCATAGTACCCTCTGGTAAACTAACATAACTATGGAAAACCACCATTTTTAATAAGAAAACTCACTATAAATGGCCATTTTCAATAGCTATGTTAGTTTACCAGAGGGTACCCTCATTTATGGATGGTTTTTGTTATGGAAAATCCGAAACAAACATGGATGATGACTGGAGGTACCATTTATGGAAATCACCATTTAGAGATATCACTGGGATGGAATGGGGTAAGAATGGAACACCCTAAAACAAACTGGTGATTTTAACATCTGGTAATCTAACACTTTGCCATGGGAAAGCCACCATTTCTCAGGCTTAAATATCTATAAGTATCTTGAATCATCTAGAAATGGGTCATTTTCCATGTTAAATTATTTAAATTACTAGAGCTTACAAATGAACCAAAACTCGTCAGGTTGTGGTTCTTCAGATCGGGGACCGCCCAAGAACGCGGGTGGGTTTGCTGCTTCTGAACATCGATACCTGGCTTTCTTTGGCCCCAGCGCATTAATGTCCAACTGGTTGAAATACAGACCAAAGGCACCATATTTCACCCATAATTACCAACTACGGGTAGGTCACGTGTATTTCAAAGTATCCAACGTGTATATAGCACCAAGAAGAATCTGTGCATAGTATATGGATGTATATAGATGATAAAGACCCATTTGGCCGACTTCCATATCTCGTGATATTCCGATCATACAGCTAGAATTCCCTCTTGTTGTTGGTTGAACCCCCATTTTCGTGAAAGTTTGGTCTCACAAAAACCAGGGTCCCCAGGTTGCCATTCGTGATATAATTATTGTGTTGGCTATATATCCCGTTGTATTCCCATGAACATGCCATTGAATCCCCATGTTTTATTGTTAAATCCAGAGAAATCGTGTAAATTCATGTAATTCACCATTGATTCCCATGTTTGCCCGTTTCCACGCAACCACCTCTTCTTGCCACGCAGCGCCGAGGCTTTCTGCGGTGCTGCATCTGCAGTGGAGCAGTGGCTGCTTTTGAGGCAGCAAGAAAAATAAGACATGGAGGTTGGGTGAGTTTAAAGGCAAAAAAATGGCGATTTCAACTGAAAAAAAATGGGATGGGATTTTAATCAAGCAAGAACGGGAGATTAAGGAAAGAAATGATGATGATGCAAGCATCGAAGATGGTGATATAATAGGAAATTGAGTATAAACAAAAGGGACTTCTAAAACTGAAAATTGCAGATCTCACCAAGCAACAATTGTGGATTTTCCATTGGGTTTGTGTCGAAATGGACACCACTCAAATGTATTGCAACTTTACTGAGAAAATGATCTCCTCAAGCATCATAGGGAGTTCTCCAGTACTCTATGTTGAGGCAACCCCGTATAGCCAGTTGGGGATTTATTTTCCTATGTCTCAATCTACTGCCAGGGTCAAAATTTCAGTTTGACATATCCACCTGGATAAAACGTGCAACAACAGAAACAGTGTGAATCCACGGCTGCTGTGCCCGCAATCTGACCACCACTGTACCACATGCCTCATTTGTTATCCCAATTATATTCCCTTAAAAATCCCAATAATTCCATATCATCCTTATTGGGATGTCTTTTTTTAAATCCCTGTAGATTCCAGCTCTATTATCATCCCAATGATTATCCCTAGAAAACCCTATACCCTCTGGTAATTTAACATAACTATGGAAAATCACCATTTTTAATGGGAAAATCCACTATTTCTATGGTCATTTTCAATAGCTATTTTGACATAACCAGAGGGTAATTCCCTATCAGCATGGCATCACCAACATCCCGCCTCCATTGGACTTCAACGCTGCAGATCCAGCATCGCCATTCGGGGAGGAACCCGCCATGACTTTCGACAGAGAAATGGGTCACCAAAGGACCTAACCTAGACGCTGGTTGGAATATGGGTATGGGTAAAAATTAGGTACCCCAAAATTATGGATGGTTAGTACTAAACTAGACTAACATCTATGGTCCCTTAGGTCTTCCATTTTGACCCACATCCATATTGCTTATCAACTCATGAGTAGAAATAGTTACAAGTTACAAGGTACCTTCTCGACTCATCAACTCTTTTATAAAATCGTAGGGAAACAACATCGCAAAATGATCCACTGTACTTGAAGCGCACCAGTAGTTAGCAACCTTGTGCTTTATCCTTCTTTTGGGCGGCCAACTAATCAAGCATTTTACCACTATATTATAGAACAATGAACAATATACATAATATATATATATATGATGCATAATTATATATATATATCTATCCCGAAAAAATATAGAAAAGAAACTCATGATCGATAATTCAGTGGGGAGAGAGACCCGTCCATCTTTTGGTCACCCTTACACATAGACAACATAGATATACAATGATATACATCACATATGCTGAGGTCAGGCAGCATAAAGCAGATGCCAATTTCAGCTACCCACACATGCAACATCCAAAGTAGATCACATGCGTCCTGCGTCATTGCAAGATGTTTTTTCCGCTAAAATCTTGAAACATCGCAGCGTCGGACCATGTCGCCTGGGAAGACTACAAAGCTGGTGATGTATTGTCCGAAATACCCTCTGGTAATTTAACATATCTATTGAAAATGGCCATTTATAGTGGATTTTCCCATTGAAAATGGTGATTTTCCATAGCTATGTTAGTTTACCAGAGGGTACCTGCCATAAGTCAGTTGTAACCCCTATGAAATGATTTTCCAAGTGCCTCATGTACTCGAAAATCAACCATGAACCAAGGTCCATCAAGGGATGAGAACGGCGGTTACCCTTCAAAAAATAAGGCCCTATCACGGTTATCTAACTATCCCTGTTGTTTTTAGTTGGCTAAGTTGCTTAAGTTCTCATCATGGTTATCTCTAACCATTTCAAGCCGAAGTTGTCAAACAAAGTTCCCGGTTAGCCTCGTATCAACCAAAGCAAACTAAACAGCGCTATGTTGTTTTCAGATTGGGTCATTGGGTCAGCATGTTTGTAAGTGCAATTCTAATTTGATATCTATCTATCTATCTATGTAATCTAATTAAAATCCGATCAAATCTAGTCTAATCTAATCTAATTCTTCAATTTGTCTATTGATCGATATGTATCGATATGTGTGTTTACTTGTCTATTTATGTATAATATGTATACATAATTATACATAGTTTCATCGAAATCTACCTACATATATCTGAATCTTTACGTGTATACATTTTGCTGTATCTATCCTATTTATATCTATATCTATCTATATCAATCCATGTCTATCCATGTATATCTATTTAGCTATCTATATCTATCAACGTCTGTTTGTATAAGTCTTTATCAGCCACATTTATCTAAATCTAACTCTATCTATATCAGTCTATATCAGTCTATATCTATATATCTATATATCTATATATCTATATATCTATATACCTATATGTCTATATATCTATATATATATATTATTATATATATACATATCTAAATCTATATATCTATATATATAATTATATAATATAATATATAGATATAATCCTATATCTCGTTGGTATTTCCCATGGTCCCAGGACCAAAGGTTTTTCACCACCAGCCAACGTTAGATCAAACCTGCAGTCTCCTTTTCCGCATCAAAGCATGTGGATCTCCGTGGCAAGTTCAACTGGAAATTTATTGGTTTGTTAATAATAATGTACCATATTTATTAATTTTTATTATGTACCAATAATAATGTACCAAATTATTATTATCCTTATTTGGGTGTGTCTGAAAATGTCGTGTACCCCTTTTTACCCAATGGTTTTGCTGATCATTATCCCGTTTTTAAATGGCTATTTGTTTGGGAATATACCCTATTTTCAGACGAACCCATTTGGTGTATGTTGCTCCACTTAGCATATGAAACAAGTGAACATGATATAAATTGAAGAACTTGAATCCTGAAGTGTTCTCATGGTTTTTGATCTTTGGGGTCCCCCAAGTCTGAAGAATCACAAATGATCTACAGTGCCTTGCCCCTTCGCCCTGCTATGTTGTGCCCCCCCATTTATCAGTGGTCGATTAACAGGCAAACAACCTGTTCATCATTGTAGATCATTCATGCTGTTCAACTGGGCTAAAAACCTGGCCCTTCGATTCACCACAGCAAACCCGTGCTGGCGTGGCCAGCACAGTGCAATAGAGTCTGAAACAAGTTGATATGAGGCCTCTGAAGTGACCTGTTAGCCTGTAAAGTCTACGCACATGGAAAGTAAGACCTTTCCTCATCCTTTCATCTTCAGACCTCAGACCATCTTGCTTCCAGCGCAGTCCGGAGGCTATCCAAGGTTCTCCAGGACTAGGCCGGGGACATTTTCGCGTCAAACAGGTGAGACGTATAGGTCATTAGCCGCTCCACCAGGCCCAGGGCTGGCGAGATGAAGTTGCCCAAGTAGATGGGTGCCATGGCAGATGTCGTCTTTCTCAGGCATCAAATGACCCACGGATGAAATACTTTGATGTAATTATCTAAGTTGAAATGAAGGACTTCGAAAGAGGTGGCCATACCATCCGCTTTAAAATTATAATTTGTCCATATAAAATGCATCCATTCTGCACTTCAGCTTTGTGTGTCCAAGAAACTGGCGTATTGCCAATGCAAAATTTCAAGGGTGTACTCTCCGTGATCAAAAATGGAAATGGGATTTACCATCTTCAATAACAATATCTGGGTGGACAATGCGCCAGAAATATGGTCATTTTGGGAACCTACTAACCACAGTCTACGGTGAGGTCACAGTGATGTCACCAAAAAAACTGCCCAGTCGTCCAAACCATCAACCTTTGGGGGCAAACTTTCGGGAAACAAACCGTATTACAGTCAGATTGCTCCGTTCCCGGTGATAAGCTGGTTTATGTATATTATATATATATATTTATTTATGTATGTATTTATTTATTTATGTATTTATAAATTTTATAAACCCATCAATAGATTTAACCATAGGTAAGCTATGTTAAGCTACTTGTTGTCATAAACAAACTTAGCTATTGTTTGGGGGAGCCACCTTGTATATCTGGTTTCCTGTCGTCCACATTTCGTCGATGTTTTTTGGGCGTGCTCCTGTCATTTTTTGACCGCTCCGTCAGTATCATGAAATATCCTAATTCTGAATAGTCATAAGGCCCACTTGCAAACCCTTACAAACTTAAATCGGACCATCCTAGTAGTTTGGGAAGATGGTAACAAGCCTTAAAGAAATCAAATATATAAACCTTTAGCCTTTAGACCTACATAAATAATATTATATATATATTATATTTAAAATGTTATATATATATATTATATCATAAATATAAATATATATATATATGTTATAATTATACATATATATTATCATATATATTTAATTATATATATATATGTAATTATATATATATATATGTGATTATATATATATAGTGGCTTTCCTCATTAACTAGCACTTTTGGGCCTCAGTGGGCCAGTGATGTCGTGACAATTCTCCAAGTTTCCCAGAATATCAAGAAACAAAAGTGAAGCCATATAGGAAGCAAACTAATCCAACTATTTACTTCAGCCATGGTTGGGGCCACATCACCGCCATCACCACACTCGACCAAGCTGGCTCGCCAGTCAAGGGTGCAACGCTTCTGCTACCGCTGTGCTACGTAACCACTCAGCGTTCTTCCTGAGCGGAGCAAGGGCCTCTAAGATTGGGGAAACCTGGCCGTGGCTGAGTCCATACAATATATTTTTTGAAATTGGGATGCATCATAGGGGGTCACAACCAACAAACTGCGAAAATGAAGCAAAAATCAAATGGTCTTCAGCTCAAATAAACTGCATGAGCCAATCAACTCTGTGCACCTACCCAAGGTTTATTACCCACTAGTGGATCTACTTATGGTCATTTTGGGAGACCAGCCCATTTGTGCAAAATTCAGATATCTGACCCATACATGAATGACATTGTTGACCAAAGTTGTTTCTTGTCCAACCGGAACCAACCTTCTTAGATGCCTCTTATCCTCTTTGCAAAAAAATGACTTCTGCTGCAGCTATGGCCCGAAATACCAGTGATTCTTGTCAGTAAGTCACCATTTGTGGAATGATAATCCCATTTATGTATCACCATTTATAAGCATTTATAGCCATTTCAAACTATTTATACACCCATTTATAACTACCATTTAAGTGGTACATTCAGCCTCAAAAACTCAAAACTCGCGGCCTCAATAGCCCGGGAGGAAGACCTGCAGGAGGAAAAATTGCTGGAAACTGGTGAAACAACAGTATTTATCATGGTTTAACCATGGGTTTTAACATGGTTTTAACCATGGGTTTAACCGTGGGTCTATACAACCATGTTCAACCCATCATTTGAAAAACAGGTTGTAAGATGTTATAAGTGGCATACGCCATGATTCTTGCCACTGCAAGCCACGGGTTGCTCATCGCTTCAATGTTCATTCTGAGACACATGATGAGGGGCAATCCAAGGGAGGGCACGAGTTTCTAAAGAAGACAGTTGAAACCAGCCATCCTCTGGTAATTTAACGTAGCTATGGAAAATCACCATTTTAAATGGGAAAACTCACTATAAATGGCCATTTTCAATAGCTATGTTAAATTAGCAGAGGGCAATTCATCGTTTCCAAAAATGGAGGACCTCCAAGTCACCATGGGTTAACCTATACTTCGCCCGCCTTTGGCCGTCGCTGAATTACCCCCAAAAAAAATACCGCGCAGCGTCACCTCGTAGTACGGCAATCCAGCCTTAGGACTTATACCCAGCCAGACTGGGAATAGAACGGTGACACAACAGCCAGGCAGAATATAGCAAAACAAGGCAGAATATAGCAAAACACGCCAAAATCCGTGACCTATGAAGAATGTGGTTTAAGCAGTTTAAGCTATACACGGAATCCACGGGATGCTTCGCTTCGTCCAGCCCGACCCAGGGACTAATTGGCCGCTTGTTAAGTCTCAAAATATGCATGGTGCTGTGAGGAACCAAAGATTCAAACCCCAAACATGATACGAGCACCATGTTCAACAGACTTTCTGAACACAAATCTGCTTAAACCATTTTCAAAGGCCAATACTTTGACGGTCAAATCACGGGTAAGAATTCCATATCTCATTCTACCTGTTTCAGATGCATATATAGATTGATCGATCGAAAGATCGAAAGATCGAAAGATGGAGAGTTAAGTAGGTAGGTAGGTAGATAGATAGATAGACAGACAGACAGACAGACAGATAGATAGATAGATAGGTAGATAGAACAATAGATAAAACAATATAGATAGAACGACAGATAGAAAGAACGATAGATAGAGATACAGACATAGAGACACATCGACACAGAGGCATAGATACACAGATATAAACATAAATAGACATAGATGCAAAATAGTATAGATCTACAAAAAAAACAACAGACAAAGAAAGGACAATAAATATCAGAGAAGAAAAGATAAGAATATATTGAGGATAGGTAAACAAAACATAGATACATGGATACAGATTCACAAATAGATAGACAGATAGACAGAAGGGCAGATAGACAGATAGACAAATAGACAGATAGACAATTTCCCAGACAAATAGGGAGATAGACAGACAAACAGACAAACAGACAAACAGACAAACAGACAGACAGACAGACAGACAGATAGATAGATAGATAGATAAATAGATAGATAGATAGATAGATGGATAGATAGATAGATAGATAGATCGATAGATAGATGGATAGATAGATAGATAGATCGATAGATAGATAGATAGCTTTTTTGTATAATATATATATATAGATAGATAGATAGATAGATAGAGATAGAGATAGAGATAGAGATAGAGATAGAAAAACAGTTAGCGATAGAGAGAGGGAGAGGGAGACAGAGAGAAAGAGAGACAGAGACACAGAGGCACACAGGGACAAACGGACAGAGAGACAGAGAGACAACTGGGCAGGCAAGCAGGCAGGCAGGCAGGCAGACAAATGGACAAACACATAAATCAACTGATAGATATACATATAGATCGATCGATCGCTCGATGGATAGATAGATAGATAGATAGATAGATAGATAGATAGATAGATAGATAGATAGATAGATATGCACATCAACGTACACATTTATTTATTAATAAGATTTAGTAATATTCTCGAGTGGCTTGCTTCGATGGCTCGTCCGTAGACTTTTCGCTGCCCAGCGGCGTTGTTTTGTTTCTTGTAATACTTCTGAACCTCGGGTATCGCAGCCACCATCTCCTGGCTCACGGTCTGATTTGGATGGCCAGGGCAATATTTTCTAAGGCCTAAAGGGAACATGCTTCAACAGCTAAGTTTTCAATCTGTTGAATCTTGAAATGCCTGTTTTCATAGAAATACAACTGAAGTTAAAGAGATAGCAGCTGGTTTATACTCCACTGATGAGTTGTTGAGCCACTAATGGAAAGTCAGTTGGGATCCTCATCCCGTGACTAAGGGAAAACAAAAAAATGTTTGAAACCACCAACAGGTAGAGGAATAATGAGGAATATAACCCCGTGAAAGTCATGGCTTCATCAGTTTTTCAGGGATCACATCTAGATTCAAATCTTTGGCTTTATGATTTACGAGTACCGAATATATGGATGTGCATCAGCATAGTATTTAAATCCTGAACTGGGATCTGCATGTTCAATGTCAATAATGCCGTGAACATCACCTAGTGAACCTGCCATTGCACCATCTCCACCAGAAACTGGAATCGTAGAGCCTCAACGCCACCTAGCAAATTTGTGATTATCTAGTTATATAATCCTTTCCCCTAGTATTAGACACCACCCTGCAAGCCAGGTCTTTTATTGGATCTATTCATGTTGAGGCCCAGTCATGGTGGTCTTAGTAATATTACTTAGCGAGATCGGTGGAACGGATTACGGTATTTTGTCTCACAAGTCACAAGCAACACTGGAAAAGAACTATTCCTAGTAATTTTTAGGCAATTCAATTAGTAATTGGGTACCTTTATATTCCAGCCCCCTTTTCGGTCTCAAGATGATCATAGACCTAAGGGATGCCCAAACGCACGCCGCACGGCCGGAGCCTTGTGCTTCAGGATGTTGGGATATCCCGACAACAACTTGGGACCCAGGCCTTCCTTCAGGGGGATGCGGGGAGCCCGTTTGCGCCAGGGATACAGGAGCAGTTGGAGCTGGGGATTTCATGGGATAGTAACGAGAATGTAATGGTACTGTATATATATATATTTATTTATTTATTTATAAATCGTCATTGAAGTCCACTGTTTGGTCGCTTTTTTAAGGGGGATCCATGGGGATCATTTTACCATCCCAAATAGGGATCATGTCGGGTTAAACCCGGAGATCATATCAATGATCTATCTCAATAGAGATTGTTTCTTATCGGAACCCAGTAAAACTGTCGAAAACTAACCCATGTATGTATATATATATATATGTATATATATATATGTGTGTGTGTGTGCAGGTCTTTTGACTACGGCACAAAATGATACAACATCATACAATGGAACTTGGGATCTGATTACCCACGTGAACCAAAACATGTTTATAAACTTCATTCATACTATCTATATATGTCTCTTTGGGGAGTCTCCTCTATTCTGAGCACTTGTATTATTTGTCATATGATGTCATATGTATTTACCTATATATATATATATATACAGACATGGATCTTCCAGGTGTTCCTTCGTCCAGCCTCTAATCACAGAGGCAAAACTTATCATATTATCTCTGATTTTAGGAAACGCATCTGATTTCAAAAAAAAACATCTGTCACTTCTTGGTTTGCACCTCAAGTGAAAGGGATATTACACAAGCGGATTGGGGTCAAAACCTGAAGTGGTGCTAAATGTATCACGTATTGGGGAAAGTCCCAAACTTTGTCTGCAGAATTCACCAAAAAGACAGTCCCATCCAATAAGTATCATCATATTTATGTGTGTGTATATATATATATGTTGACATATATATATATATATGTACATTCTGTATCAAAGACGTGAAAGCTGATTTCATGAAAATCTGGACTTTCACTGTGGCCGCGCGGAAACAGGGCATACATTAAGGCATCACAGGCCATGATTGCACCCGATCCCATCTCCGTGAAAACCCGTGATGGTTGAGGTGATGCTCCCACTCAAATCTCGGGCTTTTCCGGCCAACCATCTTAGATTGAAGGGTATAGACTATATAAATCTATATACAGTAATATATAGTAATATATAGACTCAGACAGAAACTGCCTCACAACAAGGGTGGTGTCATTGACCCCAACCATGATTTGTCTAACCAAGGAGAACATTTCACCTGTGAAGAGTACGTCAGTGACAGTTTCTGGCTGATTTTTGATAGAATAACATGTTCAGTGATTCAAAGGTAGTCCTCCAAAAAGAAACCATTGTTGTCAGGGTGACTGGTGAAGACATGGTAATCCCATTTATTGCCCAAGAATTGTGTTGTTGGTTCTGCACCGAAGTTTTGCTCGCATACATCCCGGTGATATTGTTCTCATAGGCCCATTTTAGTTTGTCTGAAAATAGGCTATAAGATGCTATAAGTTGTATAAGCCCTAAATCCACTTTTCTGTGAATCATCATTTCACCGAGTTTCCCCAAAATATTACCATTGCCATGGCCCCAAGATGGAGGATCATCTGTGTCAAGACGCCACGAAGCCGGAGCGTACCATGGACAGGAAAGCTGGGCCGCGAGGTGCATCAAGTCCCGAAGGTGGGTTGATTTCTTTCTGATACCATGGGTTTGACTGGGGTACCCTCTGGTTATTGAACGGTTTGCTATGGAGAATGCCCATCTTTGATAGGTAAATCAACTATAGAAATGGCTCATGTTCAATAGTTATGTTAAATTACCAAAGGGGCGCCCAATGAGGACAATCCATGACAATCCGCCAATTTTGCGACCTCTGAATAGGTTCCAGTCTTCCAGTCGTCTCTTTTATTCAAGGTAAGAACGGATCTGATTGGTTTTTGTCAACCCATCTGATAAACATATTAGTGATTGGGTATCATTCATCATTCCAAAGATGGTTGAACATAGATATCATGGAAACCAGCAATTGGTGGAATCGAAACAAACGGTTCCTGGTGAGGACAGAATGGGCCAGGGTTCCACCAAGCCTGTCTCAGTTGGTATGTGCTAGAGTCGGAGTTGGATGGACAACATAAACATATACAGTATGTATATCAATTTCTGCCAATGCATAGTTTGAACGGATGGAAAAAATCTGACCATCACATGGAATTTGATTCTCTTAATCGCCATGGTGGTTTTCCAACCAGTCCCTTCAAACCTCTGTGTCACCTCAAAAAATGAACCCAACAATGCAACCCAAAGACCGGGCCGTTGGGAGTCTGATCAGGCAATCATAGTATATATCTATGATTATTTATGTATATTAATGAGTATATAATATTTTACAGTGTATTAGCTAATTACAACAATTAAATTTCGGGTAAAAATCATTGATTTGTTGGCAAATCATCATGCAATGGAACATGACCAAATACATGATGTTCCCATTGAAATGTAGGTTTTCAATTGCCATGTTTCATTGCCAAAGGGTCAAACTTCCAATGTGGAAAGGTCCATACCTGTTTGAATCGTCTTTCAGCCAATAGGTGGCCCTGGAATCCAAGGAAATCAACTCAAAATCGACCACAGACTGCAATCGATGTTGACTCATCCGTGCAGGTGGTCCCAGTTGATTTATCTCCCGTGAATCATAGAATACAATAAAGATATGAGCATATCATGATATATCTATATATATATATGTGTGTGTTACTGTATATATCTACCAGAAAACTTTGTTATTGGATTGTTATTGGAATTAGAATTCAAGTGAACTATGGGGCACCACCTGATTGCAGGCGGGTAGGTGGACACCGTTCGCTTCCCCATGGGAAGTCCCTGTTTTGGTCGAGGAAGAACACATCGCCCCGCATATATGCTAAATGACCCCACATGGGTCCCAAAAATGAACCGATCCAATACTATAACACTATAATTCAGTTTTTGTGTTGGTTTGCACCAAGTAGCCGACCTCCGGACTCCGACTGCAGCCAAGAAACCGAAAAACATCAAATCAGCCACCGAAAATCCCGCCTGCCAGGCTGGCCAGGTGATGTATGCCATGTGGAGGCGAAGGTGCCAACAGCTCATCAACACAGCAATGAAAATAACCAAATTTTGTCCTCTGATGTATGGATGGGATCATTGACATGACGGTAGCTGCTGGGTGAAAAAAATCATAACGATGGCGAAACTAAGTTGGCAATGTTTATTTGTTTTTTTGGCATGTGTTGTTTTTTTTTTGGTCGTCCAGGTTCCCTTCCTTGGTTTTTGCAGCTAAAATATTTCATTTGCTGCATTTTGTAGCTAAAATCATTCGCACTGTTCATCAATTTTTCCACTGGTTTCAAGATTTGTTTCAATGGTTTTTATCGAGTTTTCCATCGTTTTCATTGTTTTGTCCATGATTTTCTTCAATTGTTCTATGTTTTTCTTCAATTTTTCCATGGTTTTCTTCAATTTTTCCATGGTTTTCTTCACTTGTTCTATGTTTTTGTTTTCGATTGTTCCATGGTTTTCTTCCATTTTTCAATTGTTTTTTTCATTATTTCTATATTTTTATCAATTTGTGCATTGTTTTCATTTTGTTCCAGAGTTTTCATTGATTTTTACATGGTTTTCATGTTTTCCGAAATTTTCATTTATTTTTGAAAATACACGATGTGCAAACTATAGATTGTAGATGTAAAAATGTATATGCATGACTAATCATGACTATATGTATATGTAGATCAGCGTATTTACACGTGTATTTTAAAAAATTATATATATATATATATATATGCAGGGTTTGGTTTAGGGTTTATATAGGGTTGGTTTCTTCTAGATTTGTTTAGGGTCTATTTAGGGTTGGTTTAAGGTCTCTTTAGGGTTGGTTTAGGGTCTGATCAGGGTTTGTTTGCGGTTGGATTAGGCGTTACTTAGGGATACAACATGTACATACAAATAACTACATTTATGTGGATGCATATCCATGCGCATGATTATCTATAATTTATTGTGGAGTGAAAATTGTGTATAAAAACAACCATAAATATGTCATACATATATGTGTGTACATATCTATAATAAGTATATACGTATGTGTATTTGTCTATAAGTATAAACATATATATATATGTATGTATGTATGTATGTATGTATGTATGTATGTATGTATGTATGTATATGTGTGTAAATATATACGTATATATAAATAAATATATATATGTAAATGAATAAGTATTTATATGTATATATGTATATGTAATATATGTATACGTATGAATATAATATATATATATATATACATATATATATATATATTATATTATATACATATATATATATACATATATATATATATATACATATATAGTCGAATCAAACTAGTGTATTGAAAAGTGTGCAAGTTTGCATTGATAATTTAACCAATAAAAAAAAGGGAGAAGGGGATTGGGGGAAGGGCTGAAGAGGGGCACTAGCGTCTAGATTAGATGAGCTAGAGCGTCTTCCCCAGACAGCCAGACAGCTAACACACCTTTTATACTCGGCCAATAGCCAGTCGTTGCGGTGTCTACAGGATTACTCTATACCTCTCTTGAGCCTTGACAGCGTATGAAAATGTACTCAATACTCATGCTATATCCACATAGGATCCAAGCCAAAACAAAAACGCAGGCACAAATTCAAAGGCGATGAGTAGAGCACTACGCTTTGTCGTACCCAATTGAGAATAAGAGTTAGAGCCTGTAACTATACTACACGTTGGCTAATCAGCAAAAATGAGCGGAAGTCACGCAATGGTTTCTTTACAAAAACAACGAATCGAATGTTAGCGGATCGAATGCGACAAACCTGTCCTAAGGACATGTCGAAGTGAAAGCAGCGGATTCGCTAACTATTTTTCTCGACGATGGTGCGCGACGCTTGGTCGATCTTGGTAAAATGCTCTACCGGTGTGAAAAATTCGTCCTTCTAACGTTCGAATTGCAAGATTCAGAAATTGAGGTCAGATGGAAAACAATTGACCGAATCACAAAGTAAACGGATACAGCGGATCTCCAAAGTCGCTCATTCAAGCGGACAATAGACAAAATTCGGAGTTGGTAAAATTGATTCGTTGACTTCCGAACTAGTCTGATCTAGTCTGCTCGGCGGAAAATGTGTGAAGACAAAATGCATCAAAATGCGACATTATCTCTATCTACAAGAGTATATATCTACATTAATGGAAACTCAGACACAGTAGAGGCATTATCTCTATCTAAAAGAGTATATGCCATCTTGTGTAGAAATAAAAGCTCAGCTGTGGTATTATCTCTCGCTATCAAGGGTTGGTGTACTGTATATTCTGGCTTGGTTCAGGGTTGACTTGGGCTTTGAACATCATCTCGATGATAATGCAAACCTTTGAGATAGATAGATAGATAGGTAGGTAGGTAGGTAGATAGATAGATAGATAAATAGGTAAAGAGATAAAGATACAGATGTAGATGCAGATGTTGATGTAGATCTAGATGTAGGTGTAGGTATAGGTATATAGATAAAGATGTAGATGTTGATGTAGATCTAGATGAAGACGTAGATATAGATATATAGAAATAGAGATATAGATGTAGATGTAGATGAAGACGTAGATATAGATATATAGAAATAGAGATAGATATAGATGTAGATGTTGATGTTCATGTAGATCTAGATGAAGACGTAGATATAAATATATAGATTTAGGTTTAGATATAGATGTAGATGTTGATGTAGATCTAGATGTAGATACAGATATATAGATATAGAAATAGATATAGACAAAGATACAGATATAGATTAAAATAGACATAGAGAAATTTAAATAGATATATAGATAGATATTGACATAGATATAGACATAGATATAGACATAGATATAGACATCCATATAGACATAGATAGACATAGATAGACATAGATAGACATAGATAGACATAGATAGGTATAGATAGGTAGAGATAGATTTAGATTTAGATTTAGATAGATAGATAGACAGATAGATAGATTTTTAAAATAGATAGATAGAGATAGACATAGAGATAGAGATAAAGATAGATGGATGTGTGTCTAATGCACAACATGCACCTGGTGAACTTGCTTCACTGATAGATTGATCGATAGATGATAGATGAGCCATAGGAGCCAGGAGCCATAGAAGCCATAGAAGCCACAGAAGCCACCAGAAGCCACCAGGAGCCACGGAAGCCACAGAAGCCACCAGGAGCCACCAGGAGCCACCAGGAGCCACCAGGAGCCACCAGGAGCCACCAGGAGCCACCCCACCAGGAGCCACCAGGAGCCAGGACCGTAGAAGCCACAGAAGCCACGAAGCCACCAGGAGCCAGGACCAAAAAAAACAAGAATCAATGCCAAAAAAACACAACCCTCCTTTCATAACTGTGGTGGGGTGATCCTAGCCAAGGAAGACGAAGTGGCCCAGCAAGTCACGTAAACCCAGCCATCTTTTGCAGCGATTGGTTTGCACTACATTCTTGTGTGGAAATTGGCACGGCAAGTTTTTCATGTGCATCGAACAGGCACGGAAGCAAAGCTGTTGTTAATGACTTCGAGCAAGGAATAGTACTCCCTAAAAAGGACAAATCTGCATCACTCAGCTGGACGTGCTCAAACAAAAACCTGTCCCCTTGATTGCAAATGTGTGATCTACAGGGGACATCGTTTATTGGCGACATTGTTTACTGGTTCTTGGCACTATTGGGCACTTGTCAACTTGTTGGACACAGAAGGGCTGTTCTTGGAAACTTTACGATATTCTGCGTGAATACTTCAAAAAGAAGGCCACCAGCAGCTGCACCTGCACAGCAAGCAGACGCTGTGCAGGATATTGCCACCGACCAAAAATTAGACTTAGAGCTCCACATTTCAGCGTGAATCCGTCAAAAACCACGGCCTCTGCAATCACGAAGCCGTTGGTGCTTTTTTCCAAGGTCTTTTCGAAAATGTCGATCCTCAGAGCGTCAAGGCTGAAAGTTAAAACTGGCCGTATGTTTTTACATGTTTTAACAAAATCTTGTGCGTGAAGCATGAAAGCCCGTGCCTTTGCAAGACCCCGAAAACCGCCCTGGCAGCAAACTCTGCTGCGACACTCTAAGAAACATCCAGCGAAAGCGCAGTGAGTTCGAAATCTGGCTGCGGCCAAAGGCTTTAGTTGAGAAAATTAAGCACGGGACAAGAAGGATTTGTGCGTCGTTTCTTTTCTCATCACGCATATTTTCCTTGGCCTTATAGAGCTGGTTGTGAAGGCGGCACATTTGCGCATTTGATGCAGTTGTGCTTTCAACTAATTGTGTTCATTCAGCCTTATTGGCACTGTCTCCGGCATGCACACTCTCGTCAACCAACCGTGGTGAAGAAAAAGGAACCAAAGATCAGAAGAAGGGCTCTGGCGGAATGGCAGGAATTCAAGCTTGCATACCGCACTGGCTGGAGTTTGATGACCCAACAAGCGCGATAACATCCTGCTTTTAGAGTCCACCCATCGGAAACGTGAAACGTTGCCTCATCAGCACGCCTCGTGGCTTTAGTTTACTTTCCTGGTATTATGCGCACTAAAGGATACTACAAGTTTATTTTTCAACAAATGGTAGCCCATTAGAATCCGCTTCTGATTTCTTATGTCCCGAGTCCCGACCTTTTAAGAGCCCATGGTAGATGCATTTCATTACATTGGACTTAGATGGTTGAACTTCGGTTGAATTTAAAACACAGAATTCAGACATATCGAACATGAACATGACTCTTCATTTGTTTTTTTTGCCTTGATAAATATATAATTGAAGGGGGCAATTGGGATGTTGACGTCATTCTGGTTTCTCAGATGATACATTTATTGAAATAATATGACGAATCGTGACTAATAATGAAATCACCTCCTTATAACCCAGCCATCCAGTCCATCGACCAAAAGCATTGCCAGCCAATATCAAATCTTGCTTAGCCAGCTTGTCAAAAAAAAGGCTGCGCGAAACATATATGGAAAGATCGGGTAATTATATGTTACTCTGTACACCAACTTCAGTGCCCCGTACGTCCATTTGAACCGGGTAGAACCCCCAACCCCCTCTGGAGTTGCGATGATTCATCAGAATCTCAAGATTAACTTGGATTCATATATAATCCAAGTTAGCCTTGAGATTCTGGTGAATCATCGCAAATATGTTTATGTGATGATAAAATGATGGATGCTAAACGATTAAGTTCAAATATATATAGACATATATACATAGAGTAAATAAAATATCACCAAAATCACCAAAATGTATGATCTTTGCCAGCGCATGCCTACACCCGCGTTTTGAGTAGAACCAACCGCAAGCTCTCACTTGCAATGTGTCTGAAACGTTTCTGACATTTTAACCCACTCCACCAACATTCTCAGCCTCTGGCTGGATCAGCCATATGCAGCCGTGAAAACAACAACAACAACAACAACAACAACAACAACAACAAACAACAACAACGACAACAACAACAACAACAACAAACAACAACAACGACAACAACAACAACAATCAAAATCAATAACAACAACAACGACAACAACAACAGCAACAACAACAGCAACAACAACAAACAACAACAACAACAGCAACAACAACAACACCAACAACCACAACCACAACAACTACAACTACAACAACAACAACAACAACAAGCAACAACAACGACAACAACAACAACAACAATCAAAATCAATAACAACAACAACGACAACAACAACAACAGCAACAACAACAGCAACAACAACAACAAACAACAACAACAACAACACCAACAACCACAACCACAACAACTACAACTACAACTACAACAACAACGACAACGGCAACGACAACGACAACGGTAACGGCAACGACAACAACAACCACAACAACAAAAACAAACAACAACAACAACAATAACCACAACAACAACAACAATAAACAACAACTACTACTACAACTACTACTACTACTACAACTACTACTACTACTACTACAACTACTACAACTACGACTACTACAACTACTACAACTACGACTACTACAACTACTACAACAACAACAGCTACTACTACTACTACTACTACAACTACAACTACAACTACAACTACTACTACAACTACAACTACAACTACAACTACTACTACAGCGACAACTACAACTACAACAACAACAACATCTTGTAACAACCCTGATGCCACCACTTGCAAAAAGGAAGCAAATGCAATCGGTCTGTTTCACTCACATGGCACAACGAGTTGAGGTAAAACGAGACTCAAAGGATCCCTGTGATCCATAAGTCCAAGCCGAAATGTCACACCAAAGCATCAATGATCTTCACGTGGAAGTACGACCTTGGCTGAGATTTTCACTGGTGTTTTTCTTTTGATGCTTTGTTGTCGACATTGAAAAGTCTTCATGCTTCGCCAACTTGTGGCCAAAGCATTCCTGTTCGAAAGTCTGATTCGCAGGATGTTCAGCCATGATCGCTACAGGGTTTTGCAACCACTTTGAAAACACCCATCTTATTTTTTCGTCAACCTTGGTGAGACCATCACTAAACTGAAATCTAGTTGGAACCCATCGCATCGTTTCATTTGTTACAGTTTCTTGAATGGCTCGAATTGACACCATGGTTCGTTTGTCATTGGTCATGGTATTTGGTGATATCACTGCATCAAACAAACTTTTGGCATCCGTTGCCTGGAGAGATGCAAGGCGCACTCCAACTCGATGCGCAGGCTGCTGATGCACCAGTTCACCAAGATGCATGTTCACATAGCAGCTTCGGTCGGCAGCCTCGTCTGCAGCTGAAGCCTCGGCAGCAAGCGTACTTCGGCAAACACGTACTGCTCTTGAAGACTTCCAGTCAATTACTGAAAACTTTGCAGGTTGGTGTTTTGCGTCAAAAGTCGTTAACCCAATGATTGCTCCAATTTGACTTCCACTCTTTGATGCGTTTGCCCAGCTCGAATCACTGTAGGCCAAAACAATGGTCTGTGCAGAGACCGGAACATCTTGCATCATGATGCCAAACATCGGAGTCCGCTTGAGATAAGACAGGGTGTCATACAAGGTCTTGAGGTCGTGGATAGTTGCCATCTCCCCATGTCCAGTTAAACTGACCACAGGTGCAATCTCAGGTCGTGCTTGAGTCGCCAGCCATTGGAGCGATCCAGAAACACTGCGCAGTTCCTTTTGTTCATCCAGTGAAAGCTTTTCACTCTGCTGCAACCTTCCGCGAGGAATCGTTCCCTCTTCTAGACCTGAAATGAACTTCTCCATGGTGATTTTCATAGTGAATCTTCCATCAGCATTTCTTTGCAAGGTCAACTCCTTGCCCTTGAAAGTAGTTGGCTTGTCAACTTCCAAATTCGACAAGGCTCCCCACTTGAAGAGTCCATGAACTTCTGACAGTGGATAATCTGACCTGCTGATGCCAATGAAGTCGTCAACATACACCAAAATGATTGACTGAATCTCTCCATCAACAACCTTGTAGTACAGCTGACGGTCAAAGGAGTGTTGCACGTAGCCCAAGGTTTTGAGCCGTTTGGTCACTTCAGCTGCCCAAGTGTATGGAGCGTTAGACAACCCATAGACATTGCCGCGGATGCGATACAGTCTTGACAACCATGTTGATGTTTTTGCAATCAAGCCATCACGTGGAGGAAGTAGAAACAAGGGAAGTGCACGCTCTTCTTGAACTCCTTGAAGGAATGCAGTAGCAACGTCACCAATCCACGCAAACCACTGGAGCATTGACCCAAACAATTCTGAGTTATAACCGGCAACAATCATAGCGAAGACAAGATGCTCAGCAATGCGGCCAGGAGTCGCTGAAGTTCTGTTAAGTGTCTCCAGGTCCGGATCGAGATGGCCTAAAGCCACTACACGGCATTTTGCTTTGACATCACCAACTCCGCATGATTTGTCTCTATAAAGCGCACGGCTTTTCAGAATTCTCTTCTTCAACTTTGGGTCTTTCATCACCTCATCTGCCTGCTTGTCGGTCAATGGCTCGACCGAGTTCCAAGAAGCCCATGACTCAGCTTCTTTGGTGATGGCCGCCAAAAATTTGTCCACATAGGACTCTGGCATGTCAAGCACTTTCCTCCATGGTATTTCTCTATCGAGGGCTTTGACCTCTTGTCTGGTCATGCCTTGCTTGTACACTGGAGGTGCTGATGACGTCTCGTTGCTGGTCTGGAGTGGTTGTTGATCATCATCGTCATCAGTGTCTGAGCCTTGAGTTGTATCAGACTCAGTTGGATCCTTATTGATCCGCTTGACATCTTCCTCACGTTGTTTAGTGGTGAGGTACGCATAGTGGAAGACCTTGTGAGGTGGACCAAAACCAATGTCTGGTGAAGCATCTGAGTAGGCATGTGGTCGCACCAAGTAGTTCTCCACTGTTGGTATCAAAACTGCTAAGGAATCAAAAGGCCGTTTTTGTGGAAGCTGTTGATCCGAAGGTGGATCCATTGTATCATCTGGTTGTGGTTGTTGGACATCCAGTTCCGTCCCTGTTGTTGATGGGTGAAGGACATCTGGATTAGCTTCCGCTTCAGTGACCTCAGTCCTTTGTTGCTCTGGCTGGGTGTCTGATGTGGCCTGCTGGCCTGCTGCCTCCAAAATGGTAGGCTGTGAAACTGTTTGTGCCGGCTGTACATTGGCTGGTGCCTGTGAGTGATGTGAGCTTTGTTGCTGTACTGTGCTTGCTGGTTGTTCCAGCAAAGCAGGTTGTTCTGCCATAGGTGGTGGTAGAGCCTGTTGTGTGGCTCTCTGTGCTGGTGTGCTCCCAATCCGTTTGGATGTGGGTGTGCGGGACCTCTGTTGTGTTCGTTTTGGGACATTACCAAAACGATTGTACTGCTGGTTGACCTGTTGGCCAATGTGAGTAGGACTGTCAATGTGTATGTTGTATTGTTCTGTTGTTTGGTGGAGTTCCAATTGGTGAGGTTGAGGTATTGGTGAGTCACGTTGCATTGGCTGTTGTGGTGTGGGAGTAGTAGGTTGTGGTATTGAAACATGTTGTTCAACTGGCGTAGCTGGAACCATCATGGATGGTGTCATTGGAACTCCATAATGGTATTCGTTCATGTCATCATATTGATCATGAAGGGCATGTTCTTCTGGTGGTGCTGGGCCTCTATCATCCAACAAGTACTTGCCAAAGTCCTGAGTTGCGTCTTTCAAGGCCTTGATGTCGGTCTCATCTGGAGACCATTGTTCAAAACCAAAGGCACATCTCAGTTGCTCAGAAGTCA